CAGTGAACTGGAAAATTACTTATTAGTCCCCTCAAAAACCAAACATCTTTAAATACATAAGCACAGTGAAGGTATTTTCCTCCATCAGCAGAAGAATCAGCACTGTGTACAAAACTAAAAAGTACTGGTGAACACAAGAAAAGTCTGTTTAAAGACCACGTAGAATAAAACAAAGCCAAAACAAAGTTCTTTATCCATGCACATGATATTCTTACATATTTAACTACAGCTGAGGGGATGATTAGACAGTTTTAAGCCATAGGTTGTTCTCTGTTATTTTTCCTACAGGATGTAATTACTGAACATGACCTATGTAGAAAGCCTTGCAGTACCTGAAAATCCTGTTTTGGCTGCAATCAAAAGTAAACTCCATCCATAATTAAAAAGAACAGATTTGCTTTCAGCCACTGTTTTAAATGTATATATAATTATTCCTCCAAAAATCCTTTTTATTTTCCAGGAAACAAAAACTTGCTGAACTCAGTCCAACAAATTAAGTCCCAGATATTTGGTTAAAAAAAACCCAACACTGAATTCGATCATGACAATAAAATCTAGATGAGTCCTTAAATAAAGGTTATGCTCTAAGTGATCTCATCTTATGCTTATTAATTGACCTTCTGAATCCTCTAAACTTCTTATTCTCACACTGCTATCCAGCAGCTGCATTTCCATGACAAACTGTGAATGCCTAAGAGATATTTGTTGCCCACAATGAAAAGATGAGCTCAGTGAGTCTAAAATAGTCAGAAATAGACTCCTGAAAACTTAAAAGCAAATCTGTCAGAAGAGCAAGCAATGATCTTATACTGGGAAGACAAACTTGCTTGAGGTGGTTGATAATCATTTTGATCAAACATGGATTCAGTTATGCCCAGTGAACTTTTAAATGCCAGATAAAAGTCCAAAATATTCCAGCCTAATCTCTAAAAATGGAAGAGAAAACCAAAACTATCATGTTTGTACTCACCGGAACTTTACTTCCGACTATCTGCATGCAGTGGTCAGCCAAGAGAGGTTATTGTGTAAAAGAGATAATAATAATGCATAAATAAACACAGCAAAGTACTTAGTAGGATGTAGCATCACACACATTTTTTTGGTGTTTAATCATTAGTAGCAGTTACATTCATTTATTACTTATCAAACTGTTTAAGAGTTAGAGCTTCTCAACAGGAAAACAGTCGTTCTACTGTTCTTATGTTCTGTTGCTGAATCATCAGCATTTTACACATCTACCAACAAATAGCTACACACCCAGCTTGCACAGCTACATCTCCAAAGATTAAGTATGCCATTTTGTTAAAATTATGAGGTCAGATATTTTACAAATGACACAGAAAACTACAGAAAGCACTAAGGGCATACTGACTTCCTGGTACTTTTAACAGCTTCATTTACTGTGGAGCTTTTCATCTATTCAGATGATGTCACCACTGCCATTAATTACCTTCTCATAATCAAAACCATAGCCTACAGTTATAACTCTAACTTGCATTTCAGGAAATCTCACATGGCATTTCCATTCAATGCTTGGTATGGATGCTTTCAATTACACGGATAATTAAACAGTGATTTCCAGAATGCCATCTTCTCTCTTTAACCATGGAACAGCATCTCTGCATATTCATGAACAAAAAGTTGACTTTCCACACAGAGGAAACTCTGCAGGAAGGCAGCACATCTGTGCCCTGTTCTATCACTTGGCACAAATGACCATGTCCTTGGGAACACCAGGACTGTGGATTTCTGCTCAAATACCATAGGCCTTTACTCAGCAGCAGCAGCCAGTTCATTGAAAAACCACTTTTACGTGATTAAGAGTCTGATTTTGTTCTGAGATCTGAATTTGACTGCACTGACTCCCACAGGGGAGGTGGTGGATTCACCATCCCTGCAGGTTTTCAAGCTGAGACCGGATGTGGCATGGTGCCATGGTCTAGTAACCATGATAGGGTTGGACTTGATCTTGGAGGTTCTTCCAACCTGGTTGATTCTATGACTCTTCAGCCTCTACCTGCTTTATTTTCTACTCTTATCTTTTAGATTATCCCTTTAGGAAGTCTTTCAGAAGCATAAGTCCCTGCAAGGCTTTCACAATCCCCTCATCTCTTCCTGATGAACCTCTAGAAGCACAAGTTGGACTGTCATCACCAAACAATCTCTTTTCCTAATTGACTACCTTCTTCTCTCAACAATCTTCGGCTACTCAACATGGCATGAAATGTCACCAAGTTCAGTTCTGAAACAGAATTCCAGTTCTCAAGTACAATTTCCATGGCCAACGATCTTTCTCTTCGAGTGAGAGAAGCAATCTGAAGCACTGCAAATCACTTCACGTGAAAGCACCCAGCTCATCAGCTTCTCTATGTCCTCCATCTCCAAGGAAATGGACAGCTTTGTTCATCCACTGAAACCCAAGGTTCCTTTCTCACTCAGGACCCTGAAGACAGAAGTGTCTTGGAAAAGCATCATCAACATGCTGCACATGGCACACAGGCAGAGAATATGAAGCACCAAATGCAAAATCATTTGGTTAAGACAACATCAGCAAATGAAAGTGATATTTTCACATGAGTGGAGAAAGCTCAAAAGCCAAACTGAAACAAACACGAAATGTACTGCATGAAAAGCCACATCAACTGTTAAGTGTGTTTGGTGAGCTCTAAGCAGAAGGTCCAAGTATTTTCAGTGCAAAAAAGGAACACAGATCATTATCTGTGACCAAAGGAATGGGACAAAATTTCAAGACAGATCATTTTGAATGCAAGCAGCATTTTCATGGAAGACAATCCTAAAGAAAAGAAAGTTTGACACTTGATGATGCAGTAAAGCTCAATTCTTCAGCTTGAACTCATCTGAACAAAACAGCAGTTCCACTAAAGAGAAGATGAAATTCAAAGCAAAAATGAGGTTTTGCTCCATTGTAAGATCCCAATCAACATTATACAATTAAGCTCTGATTTTTCAGGTTTTTTTAAACCAATTAAGATGCTACCTATTTAAAAGTTAACTTAGGGTAACATGCTACAGAAAGGCAATTTGTATTGCTGAACAACCTCAAACGATTCCACTCAAATGCTGCGATTCAATTGCAAGGAGGACATACTGAAGCACACAGACTTCAGTACGAGCCATTTTTCCACAAGGAAAAACATCTTGCATGTGTACAACACATCCACACTGATGCTGACTTCAGTTCAAAGAGCACATTCACGTATGAGGATCTTTCAGGATGATTCAAATGGTTAGTACATTTTGACAAACATTTTGCCAGTTGTGTTCAGGTCCTCGTGCTGCAGAGCGTGTAAGGCAACTGTTAAGCAGCAGTTAGCCATGCAATGGTAGCCATGCTCTCCTCACTTGGCTCCAACACTAGGGGACTTGAGGCAGCTACATCTCAACATCAGTACACATAACAGAGACCAACATTGTCGGCTGCTTTTTGAAAAGAACTTCAAGTACTTCCATTGTGACTTTCCACGGTTTCAACCAGACATTTTGGCTTACTAAGAAAAATTTAAGATTTAACACTGATTATCAAGAGAAGACAAAAACTTGACAAAGCATAAGCAATAGTGCCCAAAGACAGTCTAGGCAAAGGACACTAAGAGGAACTTTAATAATATTCACTGCATGAGCTTGCACAGTTCTCTAATACCTTGTATGTTTAGTTTGACCATGCTTTAAGCACTGGATTCCTTCCAGCACAAACTACAGGACTGTGGATTTTGTTTAAGATCAACTCATGCAGCAACTTCACTCCTCTCAGAAACTAAATCACCATTTTCCCATTATAATGCAAGCCTTTCCTCACTCAAGTTTATAATGCTTCATGCAATGCATTTGCATAATAATTGCATGTCATTGTCATTTAATTTTTTTTAAATTTAACTCTGCAGAGCTGATTTTCAAGGTTAAAACGAGACAAGTCCACTGTATTGCTTGCAGTCCACGCCTATAGATTCATTAGGCAGACACCAAAATAATCTTATTTGCTAGTATATTTCACTACAAAACAGATTATTTCATGCTTGCTGTATTCAGCATTCAGCTCTGCAGAAATGCTGGCACTGCTGCCACGAAGTATTTGAAGAAGTGCTCTACACATAGTCTTCACTTCCAGTAACCTTTTATTGCACACAGTAACTTAAGTGTGACAAAAGAGACGAGATTGATCCTAATTCCCAAATAAAATCATATGCATTAACTAATTTTACTTAAGAACTAAGCTGATAGCAAATTTTGTCACTTTTGTCACTGCTGCCCCTTGGATAAACAGAGCTATTCATCACCACCACTTCTCCCCAGTTCTTCAGTTCATTCAGTGCATTCATTCACCAAGAGCTTCCTTAAAATTCTTTAACCAGAAAGTGACACAAATCAGGACAAAACCTGTTCCTAAGAAAATCACAACATATATATACACATATATATGTTTCATCCAATGCTCATGAATTCTTATGGCATATCCTCTTCTCAGATGGTAAGAACTGTATTTGCCATACTCAACTTTTAACACACCAAAAACATTACTGTTGCATTTTATAACTAACTAGTACTAATTCTCCCCCTGCAGAAAATAAATTGCAGCTCTTCACTAGCTGAAACTATTTCTCCACCTCAACAAATATTGGGATATCCAGTCATTCTCTTACAGTTCTGCCTCCCAAAAACAGACTTCAAAAATTCTGCATGAACCTACCAAGGAATCAAACAATTAAAGTACAGAGAATGATCAACACCAATAAAAGGTCTAAATATTTTTTTTCTAGTCAAAATCTAATTTGAAACTCATTTTAAGACCATCCTTTGAATCAAGGAATCCAGCACATACATCATTACTGAAACCATCAAGTCATGTTATCCCTTCCAAAAACTTGTGGCACCAAAAATCCCTAAGAAGAATTCCAGAGAAATATGCTCAGGTTCCATCCATGACTCTACATCAGTGGATTTGTAATTTCTTATGGTTTACAAGGAAGCAACTCCAGCAACTGAAATAAAACTAATCCCTCAGATGCAGCTGCATCTACAAGTATATTAGTACTGATTTAGTTTTCTTTTCTCCCACACTTAGATAAATGCTGACAAAAAAATTTGTTCCTAGGTTGAAAAGCATAACACTGATGAAGCTAAGCCTCTTACTTTCATCTGTCTTGGAGAGGTGAGTACTTACAGATTTGGCAGTTGCAGAAATGTACTGGACAACCATCTCACGTTTTGTGGTCAAGTCTTTATCTCTCAAAGGAGCTTTCCGATCCTCATTTAGGTTCATGTCCTCCTGTAAAGCAACAGCCCACACAACATCAACAATCTACTTCTTAGTCCTTGTTCTTATGAGTCTTTGTTTTCTTTAGACTACTTTTTTAAAAACAAACAATTCATTTTTAAACAAACAGAAGTGACTTTTTCCAGCTTATCTGCATGCAATTGTTTCATTCTGAGCTACTCCATTTCCTTGTTTAATTCTGCCACCCAAAGCATTCACTGTTTTCGAGTCTTGGCCAAAATTACCATTGCCTCAAGGGTAGTTAACATAGGTGAGATCAGGCTCAAAAAATAAAACTAGAGGACAAACAAATTCTACACCTCAAGTTCCTACATAAGTTTTAACTCTTGTGAAGTTCTAGTGTTTTAGTAAAATCTTATCAGAACAGACACCATTCCCACACTATCTAATCAAAAGGCTGTTGTTACATGGATTATTAGCTTGAGGAAGGGGTAGATGTGAAATTGTTCCTACTTATGTCTTTAAAACAAGCCCAAAAGTCAAAATGTTCTACTAGATGAACTCTAAAGCTGCCTGTTTTAACTTAATAACTGATTAAATACGATTTAATTGTTGCTAGTCATGACAAATCTTGCCATTAAAAGTCAAAGTAACTTCAGATTATCAACTAAAACCAGTAAATGTTCCAGTAATAACTTACTAGCTAACAGCTTTGTCAAAGAACTTTAAGTCTCTGGAAGACAGACCTATTGTCTGCTTCAATTAACATTACTTGGAAAAGTTAAAAACTAATCCCTTAATCTAACAAGCAAATCAAGCAAGTGTTAATTAACAATTAGCCAATCTTTCAGAAGAGACTCACAGCTTCACTGAACAAAGCAGAACTGCAAAATGGAACAAGACAGTTCTTAGGCCATACAGACTGCATGGAAGTTTACAGCAATTTTAAAGAATGATACAGAAGAGAGCATTGCTAAAAATACTCCAAAGAACTCACTTCCTGATACTTCACATGCCATCACCAATGTGCATGGCAGAACCCACACCTCCTTCAGAGTTAGCTTCTGTAACTCTTAACAGGAAAGTTTTGGAGTAGAACCACAAACCTTGCCAAGTGATGCTATGACAGGGAATATCCAAGACCATGCAAAAAATCAGCTTTCTATGCATTAATACCTTATTAATGGAAAATACTATTTTCCAAAGCTATTTATTAAGTTCATTAAAAACTGTCCTTCAACAGCAGTATCTAAGTACTGTAACTAAGGTCTTGAGAGCTTCATCAGTCTAAGGCTTCAATTTTGGCTTTTTGCCTGTTTTGCCTGTAGAGATAGACCAAGTAATTTAAATATCTCTACTCTTGGCATTCTCTGAGTTACTCAACTGATCGGGTGCCAACTTTGATCTATCAGGCCTATGCTATGCTGTGCCCTCACAAGTAGTTACTGCTCCCCACAAGTAGGGGGTTGGGACTAGACAATCTGTAAGGTCCATTCCAACCTCTAAAATTCTATGATTCTGAGAAAATTTGAGTATTTGAAAATAACTGCTACGCAAAAAATGCTAACCAGAAAACAAATTCAAACCTCACAAAATGATGCAGCACATCATCTTACCATCATTTTTTCAAAGAGATCCATAACTTCTTTTTCTGACAGGTTCATGCAGCGCTCGTCAACAAGCGCCTGGGCATGTGGCACTTCACTTATGGAAGGCTGAGAGTCGATAGGATGCTGAATGAAAGGCTTCTCCTTCTTCACTGCCGATTTCCTGAAGCTCGTAATTCTGTCACGCTGCAAAGACATTCATTCCGATATAAGCAGAAATAGAAATATAGGAAAGCAGCCAATTACACGGCAGCAATACACACACTTTTTTGTTAATTCAAGCAGCAGAGTTAAACTGAACTCTAGGTAAAAATACTCTCATATTCACAGTTTGCTTTTCACAGAAGGACAACATGTAAGGTGAATTCACGACAGGTCACATGCAAAAGGAATATGGCTATTTCTCACAGCTTCAAAATTGCATCATCTAGGTTAAACTCCGAAAATCTTCATCTTCTCCCATTACTCCCTAATAATCCTGAGAGTGAATAACGTGGTACCACAAAGGTAACGTCCAAGTGTTCCTTCACCTGGAGAGCTCTAAGTCCTTGGAGGACAAGTGAAAAAGGCAGTGTTGGGCAGGGGGTACTCACAAGTTATCGGGCTCAGAAAAAAAAATCCTGCTAAAGTAAAATAAAGTTTGTAGAGGAATTAAAGCTCCAAGCATAGTTGACAATCCCTTGAAGTGTTTTTGAGTAGGGACTCCTGAAATTAGTGCAGAATTATAACAGGCAGGTAAGGGATTACTCAGAGAGCAGCAGCCATCCAGAGCTAGGTACACAGAACAGACATTAGTAAAGCATCTCACAGTCTGCCATGGCCTCTCACCCCTTAGGGCTCACTTGGGTTAGGCCTTACACCAAACCTCCACCTTTTTTCTTTAAAGCATGCTTACTTGGTTACTTGGTTAATGCTGGAAACAACCAACAACAGCACCTTCCTTATAAGGCCATTTATTAATGTATTTTTAATAGATAACTCTGTTCTGAATAGAGCCTGAATTGTTTGATTTAATAATGGTCTTTAATTATATATATACACAAGTTCATTTTGAGAACGTTATGCCTACAGCAACTTCTCTCAATGAACTGTTTGCATCAACAAATGCTTGTGCATTTGTTTCAGGCACTGAACAGCCTCATGAAGATGTGCTTTCCTCTATCAGCAGCTTATGTAGGGTTACCAGGATCAGTCAGGGCAGGTACTCATGTCTCTATGAAAACTAGAAACCAAAATTTCTATTTGCTACAATTAAACAACCTCTGTGAGGTTTGAAAAGGGTAATGGAGTATTTATTTGCAGAAAATTTTGATTTATTTTAGATTTGTGAGTCAGGACCAAGTGCTGTGGAGTATGGGGAAGATAATCTCCTTTTCTGTCATCATTTTGGTTCTTTTTCTTGATTTTTGAATTGTTTGGTTTTTCCCTCATGCTTTTCTGAGGTCCTGCCAGACTACTTTAAGTTTTTGAAGGCATCCCTAGATAAGGTATCCCTAGATAAGCTGCATTCCCTTTGAATTTCTTTTGAGCTTTCTGGGGGGGATTTTGTGGGTTTTTTTGAAAGGAGGTGGGTTGGGTTTCCTTCTTCTTTAAAAAACTTACATTTGTGGACAGAAACACAATACCTACAAGGATACTGTTCATGTCTTTAACAAGGCAAAAATATTACACTAATCCCATTTTTTCCCTTATTAGAATAGTTTAAACTACATTTTTGGAAACTAAAATTAGGGCATAGCCTAGTGAAAAGGCCAAGGATACAACATCATGCCTGAAAGGCAATATCCAAATTTAGCCAATATACATCAAATGCAGTTTTACTGCTCAGTTACATGAAAAAGCCCATTCAGCAGTCACAAAAAGTCATTTAAGGTCCAATTTCACCACACTATGATCTGTTTCCAGTATGACTTATTAACAACAAATTTGTTTAATCAGACTGCAATGCTGAGATCACTTTAAAGCCCCAAATTAATCCTCTACATGATTACGAGGAACAATTTCCTCACTTCAGACATGCAGACAATCATTAATGAAATATCCAGAGTGGCTTAATTATTCCATATATAAAATACAAGTTTTATAATTTTAATGAAATCAATTTTGATATAAGTTTCTGACAAAATACTTTGCAACAAGTTTCAAAGTATTCAGCATTAGGAAGTTAATGCTACTGAATACAAACTTGTTGCTTGGCATTCAGCACACATTTATCACCTCAAATGGTTCCACTTGAATCATGTGGCAACTAACTTTGAAGAACTACTGCAGATCCTTTATTTTAAAGAGAAGGTCAAGAGAAATAACACTTGGACTGTTGAGTAACAGTTTCAACATATCCACAGCATTACTAAAGTATTTAGAATGTGGCTAAGGAACCTTCTCCAAATAAAAATCATTATTAATCTTCTTCAACTGAAGTTACAAATTAAAATCTTTAGGAACAGTCACTCAATTTGCTGAAATCTAATGCTTAATATCCTTATAAGAATATGTTATTTTGTCCACAACATTTGAAGTAGCATGCAGCGTGGAGTTACCATTGCAAATTAAGATGCTACAAAGACCTTACCACATCATCTGCCAAAGTTTTTATTTGAATATTCTATTAAAAAAAAAAAAACAAAAACAACACACACAAATCAAAGAAAAAAAAAAGACAGTGTTACCTATAGTTTCAGAATAAAGAAGTCTATATTTCATGTATTCAAACAAACATTTGAAATGTCACTAAGTGTTCTAACAAAGCTGCAGCTAAATCAGTATGAATCTACTGCATCCCATGGCACCTTGGCTTTTGAGCACTGAACTCTTGAATCTGAAACTTGCACTGCTGTAACACCCCCACTACTGCACACCAATTCAGAGATCTCTTAGAAATCTTTCCAAAACAAACACAGACTCCTGGACTTCAGACTGCGTCAGCAGATACCTGTGTGACTTTCTCAGTTCTGACAGTTTTTGAGACTCAGAGTTGAGGAGAATTCACTGTGTCCAAGCTTCAGGAGCCTTCTGTCAATTTCTCCTTAACACTGAGTAATGTCAATTGGTTGATGAACCGGTTAAAGTCAGTGAACTCACGATGTAAAAATCACTCAACACCACCTCTCCCTCCCTTGTACCCTCCTCACTTTTTCCTTAACAGCAGCAAAATGCTGCTGAAAAAGATCACCAAAATTATAATTTTATACATATCCAAAAAAGCCACCTATATTTCACAGCAATATCAACAGTCACTATCCAGGAAGCATTCAGTTCATGAACTTTGCTCGATGCACACAGAGCCGTCATGAAGAGGTAATTAAGGTCAAGAACTTATGGGGGGGACAGAATTCAAGGAGCACCCAGAAGTACAGTGTGGTAGCTTTACCCTGTCTAACAGGTCAATCCCCGTACAGCCACTTAGTCCTTCTCAGCAGGATCATGTAGAGAATCAGAAGTACCAAGAAAACCACAAGAAAATGGTTGTGATATAAAGACAATTTAACAAGGGAAGGGAAGAAAAATAAACAAATTATGCAAAAGCATCACTTACTATCAGCAGACCAATGCCTACCCAACCCCTGAGCAGCTGCTAATTTGGAAAAACACCTCCTCCCACCCCACAGCCCTGGCTTTACTGCTGAGCATGATGTTACATGGTTTGGAGTATCTCTCTGGTCACTTTGGATCAGCTGCCCTGGCTGTATCCCCATCCAAGCTCCACACCACCACCGGCTCCCAGGTGGGAGCATGCTAGGAGCAGTAAGCCTAGTCACTGAGAAGGGCTGTTCAGCACAAACTAAAGCCCTGATGGTCTAGCAACACTGTTTTGGTCACAAATCTAGGACACAGCACCATATGGGCTGCCATGAACAAACTCCATCTCAGCCTGACCCAGTACAGACATCTATCTGTACATCTAAGATGTTGACACCAACCTTCAGCTCCCAAACTGCCCTAACAGTTCCTAACCCTTTTCCTTACAGCTACACATCTCCTGGACTTTCATTGCCTGGACTCAGTATGGAGCTTATAAGCTTGAAATCAAAACTAACCATACTCTGGTAAATAAACCTTTTCCTTTTCATGGAGATTACTGAGCAAAATGCTGTAAAGCCTAACCATGATTTCAACCAGAGACAGATTTGCAAGCAAGAAGTTCTCAGACTCTGTATCTGTTTTAGCAGTTACTTGTACTAAAATTTTTTTTCCCCCTTCTCATTTAAGTACTGTCAATCTCTCCCAGAACCTGGAACAGGATAATCTACCCCATCTTTACACTTATATTGCATTTGTCATTCAAACTCCTCTGGGCAAAATACAGAATACTAAAACAAGATACCACACAGCACTTTTTCAGACACCTCAAGAATTCTTCCCAGATATCCTCATGGTGCTTAAGCCACACTGCTGCCAGCAGCTACTCAAGATAAGCAACACATTTAACAGGTAGGAGAGAAACTGCAAGTAGCTGGAGGCAAAGTCAAGGCAGTTATGTACCTGCAGATTCTCACACAATTCTGACAATCTCTTTCACTAACAAAGAAATCACACTTCCAGTCTGATTTCAGAACATAAACCAGAAGTAGTTTACCTCCCTAGAAGGAAGTTTGAGGAGTCACAGATTTTGTAGTCCTCCAGCATTATTCTTTCAGCCATCTATAAGACATCCAGAGCAACACAAGACAAATAGAAATCACCCCTTTCCTAGCTTGTCAAAGACACTAACTCCCTGTTTTTAGAAGCAGTCCCAAAGGAAAAGGTTTTGCAAAAATCTCTATGATGAATTATCTGCAGATGCGTGATATCAGATTTTTATATGTATAAACATACATACCATTTAAGACAGCAGCATATCTCTCTCCTAGATGTTAATACCAACACAAACCACCAAATTTCCTCAACATCTGTACCAATGAACTATTTCCTACTGATTTACTTAGCAGTTCACTTAGAAGTCTAAGTGATGGAGCTTCTCCCTTTCCAACACAGCCTTGCCACTCTATCAATAGTCAAAAATAACATTTTTTATTTACTCTTCCCAATACTCTAAGTATCTGACTATTTGCATAAGTGCAGACAGATCCTGATAGTAAGGCACACAAAAATCACACAATATACTAATGCAACTGCACCAGACTATTGCTTTATCTGAAAAGGTCAGGCTCAGCCATGTTAATATTCAGAGTAATTGAAATCTTGCACATGAAAACAATTCACAACATTTCTTGGTACAGAAATCACCATTTCCTCATCCAAGCTCAATTCAGGCTACAGCAGCAACAGTGTCAACACTCACAGAATTAAACAACTTGATGATGACATTAACTTTTAATGCAAAACTCACAGCAAGTCTATTTTTTTTACATCTTTTTCTAACTCGTGTATTAATAAGACTTTCCAGATCACTTGAGCTGGCCATGAGTGCAAACTGAGGTGTGTTTACATGGGGTGATTATCTTACCATTACTTTGCTATATGCTTGTCACACTCAAGACTTTCACTTCCACCTGAAAAACAAAGTAACTCACTTCACCATTTGTATGGTGAAACAGTGATCAGCTGGGTAACTTCTAAACTTAACAGCAATGTTCACTCCACTGCCCAGGCAAATCCTCTGAGCGCTGCAACACACACTCCTACGCACAGGTTACACCCTCAGGGAACAGCTCCAACTGCTTTGAGCAGTGGTAACAAATAAACTTCACCTTCTCTTAACTTTCATGAATTTTTTACACTGAGATGATATGACTGTTTTCTAAAATTTACATTGAATTCAACACCTGCAAAAGACATGGCAAAGCTTCTCTCAAGGACAATTGTTTTTTAATTGCCTGAAATATATTTGCATATAACCAGGAAGGAAATAACTTCCCATATGAGTACCTAAACCAAGGGAGTTTAAAGGGACAAAAGGCAAAACTGGTTAACATCTGAAGTATGAAGACCTGTCTGCAACTTCAATCTAGGTCTTACAGTCACAAAATAGAATTCACTCCTACAACCTCTCTGTTCTTCAGTTCAGGGAATGAATAATGTTCCCATTAGACAATCTAACCATCTGTTAATGTGTACAATTTTATAATTACATCTAAAAAGGCACCTAGGAAATTGTGAACAGATACCCAAGTCATACTAGCTGATGTGCAGAAACCAGACCTACACACTCATTTAGGTCTTTTGAGATCCTTACCCATGATGAAGTACATCTGACATTACTAAAGAATTAGGAAAAATATAAATCACAAAATGTTTGCTTTAGTGCAATGTTTTTCACACTTAGAGGAGCGTTCACCGTGTTTCAAAAAAAAAAAAAATCTTGAAATGACTGTTGTGACCCATCTGCTGTCTCAAAGACACTTGAAATTAGCAATGCTGATAGTTTTGTTACTATTGTTGTGCATTTACATTTGGTCCATGTGACACCATATGGAAAAGCCCTGTTTGCCTTGCAGCTGTTTGGCTCACAAACTCCTTACATATGCATCACTGAAATTTTAAAGTAAGGCTTAACCTAGAACCTGAGCATGAAGGTAAACATTCCCCGGGGCACTACGAAGCGAAACCAAGTCACATGGGAACACCTTACACCAGACTGCCAAAATGCAGCTGGAAAATTGTTCGTGTTGGCAGAACTGAGTCAATGCTCTTTGACTGGAGGGTGGCAGCCACCTCCCAGCCAGGAAACTCCCTGCTCTTCCCACCAGGAGACTGACCATCCAGAAATCAGCAATACCCAGAAGATAAGTTGGACAACTCCTGCTAAATAATGCCAGAGGGTCACCCCGGGTGGTCAGTCATTAACAGCAGAGGGCACCCGTTCTACAACCGCAGTGCTGGGAGATACCTCAGCACTGCTCTCAAACAGGAGGGAAGGGAAAACATTCCAGAGGCATGGGAATCGTGTCACTCGCACTCATAAATGCCTCTGTCTGATCCTCAAGGGATGAGGGGAAAAAGGCACTTCCATACTGTGCCTCTGCCCAGGGGGATAGAGAGACCCTAAGGAGGAGTCTGGTCTGACTGAAAACAGAGGGTCAGAGGAACCTGAACAGCTTCTTCATTTTTGTCTGACTGGCAGAACACTATCACCATTCAAAAAACTGCATTTTTCCAGATGACTTCAAAGAAGCCTTTACCAAAAGAAATTAATGGGGGGGGAAGGGTATCACTCTAAACAAACTTAGATAGCCTTGATTTCATCAGATTTGAAACTGAAGACACAAAGGAGTTGAGGAAGACAATTCAACTAACATTGATTTTTTTTTTTTATCTGTGGCTCAACTGTTCTGAAGTGTGTTCCAGACAATAATTTATTTGTGTTCATTGATAACTAAGCTTTACAAGTCAGAGTGAAATTAAAAGCTTCTTCCAAAAGCTGCAGTTCCATGTCAGTCTAAGCCAGCAAAACTGCTGGTTGTGAGACACAGGGCAAAGGTGGCACCAGGACAGTCAGCTCAGCTTAGACTATTGCAGAAATATTTTCAGGAAGCTTATTAGAAGAGGCAATTCTCACATTAGCCAGTGCAGAGGCAAATACACTAAGTTTTGGCATTTACCAGAGCTACTGCTCGAGTCCAAATATTTTCCATCACATCTCTGCACTAGGTACATCAGGTAAGA